CTAAGAGACTCAGGGCAGGTGGCACCGCCTATAATCCCAGCACTTGGGAGGCTGAGGCAGGAGGATCGCCATGCGTTATCGACCAGCCTGGGCTACAAAGTGAGTTCAAGGCCAGCCTGAACTACATAGTTAAACACTGTCTCAAAAAAAAAAAAAAAAAAAAAAAACCACACCAAAAACCCCCCAAAACCCACTGAAGCTCAGGCCCTTGATTTGGATAAGACAAAGCAGCCCTGCACAAAACAAGAATAGGCAGAGTGTTTGGCTGGGCGGTCAGCTGATCCCGAGTCCCCAGCGTGTCCTTCAGAATCGCCGGTTAGGTGTGGCACAAGGGCTGCCAGGCTGAGAACGGCTGGTGGAAAATTCCCAGGCCCGTCATCTTAATGAGAGAGGCATTCTCGACGGTGTGGCCCAGAGGTTTCCAGGGAGAAGTGAAAAAGAAAGAAAGGCCTTCTCTTTCTTCCTCCGGCCCGGGTGGCGGTGTGGGTGCGACACTCACTGCGTGGCGGAAAGCGCCCCAGACCACCCTGCTCCGGATTCACCAGCTTCCAAGAATCTGCACACAGCTTCCGCACCCGGCTTTGCACACAGAAAGTGCGCTGCTGTGAGCAGTGCTGACACAGTCGACTGACAAGGACAGATGAGAAGAAACAGCCCACGAGGCAGGAAGCCTCAGACAGAAAGAAAGAAGAAAGAAACAGAAGGCGCTCTGATTCACGACTGCCAGCTTAATGGCAACAAATTCGTTCTCTTTGATAGAACTTGTACTGCAATTGTTGCTGCCGGAGGATAAAACAAATCCCTTGGCCTTCGTTCATTCAGTCATTCAACAACCGTTGAGTGAGCATCTGCTCAGTGCTGGTGCTCTAGCAGCTGCTGAGGTGCAAGAATAAAGAAGATGTAGCTAGGCACAGTGGTGCACACCTGTAATCCCAGCACTCAAGAGGCTGAGGCAGGAGGATCACCATGAGTTTGGGCCCAGCTTGGGCTACACGGTGAGTTAAGAGTGAAACCCTGGGGGCTGGGGATTTAGCTCAGCGGCAAAGCGCCTGCCTGGCAAGCGCAAGGTCGTGAGTTCGGTTCCCGGTACCAGAGAAAAACCAAAAAAAAAAAAAAAAGAGTGAAACCCTGTCTTGAAAAACCAAAAACAAACCAACAAAAAGAATAAAGAAGACACAGCTCCTGTCTTCGTGGAGCTCACGCTCTGGCCATGAGCGAGCATGCTAGTGTGATCTAATGTGACCTAACATGCCTTAGAAGACAGACCAGAGAGCGGGCTCAGGAAGCGAAGTGCTCAGGAAAGCTCAGGACGGGGAGGTCATGTTTGAGCTGAACGCTAACGGAAGCCCCGCGAGGGATCTAAGCAGAGCGGCAAGGTCAGATTTTGCGATAGAAGGCCACGCTTGCAGTGGAGAGGAGGGTGTTAATTATTTATGGCGTGCCAAGCAGAAGCGTCCTTGGGAAGGTCTCCCATCTGAACTCGCTGCTCCTCCTGACTCTTGGTCCCTGGAACATTCCCAACAGATGCAACGCGCAAAAGAGACGAGAAAACACACCCCTTTCCTTTCTGGCGAGTTTAGTCTGCTGTCTGGGATTCTGGGAGTCAGATGACGGTGGGGTTGAGGTCACAAGGGAGTTCTCTCGCATTCTCACCCTTTGATTTTATTGCAGCCTCCCGATGACAGCTGTCGCCCTAGGGGTGTAATCGCCAGATCTTTGGAAGGAAGAGTTCGTCAGCTGGGGATCCTCTGGAAGCAGCACTTGACAAAGTGTGTGGACTGGGTCTGAGGAGGCCTTTCCTAACATCTCCTAAGTTACCCTAAGTCCCCAGGACAGGCAGGGGTGGCTCTGAGTGTGGGGCTGTGTTCCAAGACCCGTTTGGTAGTCGTAACCTCTCCTCTAGAGCACATTCCCAGCCTTGGCACGGGTCACAGCTCGGGCCGGCCATCGGTGTAAAGGGCCGTCCTGGGCATTACCGGGTGTTAGGGGCCGTATCCCAGCCTCTGCCATCAGCTGACAGGAGTACCTCCCGCTACCACCACATTGTGACGAAAGTCTTACGGGGAGAGCTGGCTACCAGCTGGGAACTGGTCTAGAGGACGCTTTTCCGGTCTGTTTCCACTGAAGGTTCCGTTCTGTCTTAACGGCTCTCTTGGGATCACACAGCCCAGTGGCCGACTCTTCCTCTGGAAGCTTGCGGTCCTCGACACGCCCTGGCAGGCTCTCTGCAGGTTCCTGAGGCCTCTTCATTCCCTTCCTGGTCTCCTTTAAGGCTCGGCCCTGTTAATCTTTATGCCTTCTCTCTCTCCTGCATTTCCAGGAACGCAGCTTCTACTTGCCAGATACTCGCTGATCTCCCACCTAGCCCCAGACTCACCTCTCCTTCTTCTAGCCGCATCACTGGTGTAAGACATTTGCCCCCCTCCCTCCCAATCCATTCCTCCTCTCACCCGCCTGTTTCGGTACCCAGCGCCCGCTGCACCCTCGTGTCCGTCCCGGACCCTCCTCTCTTGTTCCCACATCCACTCCACGACCAATTCCTGTCAATCCTAGCTTCAAAAAATATCTGCAGGGCCGGGGACGAAGCTCAGCGGTTCAGCGCCTGCCTGGCAAGCACAAGGTCCTGAGTTCGATTCCGCGTACACAAAAAAATCTGAAAACGATCTGCTCTATTCTATGTCTGCTGTTGACCCTCCAGTTCAAGCTGCCATACAACCTAAGTAGCCTAAAACACAAATTAATTCCAGTGATGCTGGTGGCTCCCGACTTCCTCTCTGCCGTGGCGATCCTCGGGGAGCATAAATCAAACCCCAAGACGCACCACTGCAATGTCTTCAAAGGCGTCCCACTGCACCTGAATAAAATCTGAGAGTTTTAACACAGCCCCTGCCTCCACCGCGCCATCCTCTCCTTTATGCCGCTGCAGCTATGCTGGCCCTGTGCCCTGTGTGTCACCGTGGGCCTCCTGTACACGCTGCATCCTCTGCCAGGAAAGCCACCCCAGCTTTTCTCCTCTTGTGGGGGGCCCAGCATCATGTTCGTTCTTTCTAGAACCCCGCTTAGAACTCAGTGGACAGAGTCTCCCATGCAATGTCCTTACATTCACTTTCTCCTGCCTCAGTTTCCCCCTATATACTTCCAGCTTGCACTGGTGACTTTTAACTCCATGTGCATCCACGGGATTATTTCTTTACTCTTCGCCTCCCCTGCTAGATTGGAAGTGTCTTGAAGGCAGGGAGCCGGAGTGAGTCTTGTTTACTGCTGTCTCTGTTTTAACCTCACATGCGACACCTAGTGGGAACTCTTAATAGTTTTGTTTGTTTGTTTGTTTTTTGTTCTTTTTGCGACAGGGTCTCACTATGCAGTTCAGGCTGGCCTTGAACTCACTTTGCAACACAGGCTGGTCTCAAACTCACAGTGATCCTCCTGCCTCAGCCTCCCGAGTGCTGGGATTCCAGGCGTGCGCCACCACATCTGGCTGGGAACTCTACATATTTATTGGACGAGTGACAATTCACCTCTCATGTTCTTGGTGCTACTGCATCCAGGCAAGAGCTGAAATTAGTTCTGTTTTCTGGCTACGGTGCCCTCCTGGAAGGCCCAGAGCGGCCAGGGACGCAGGATGTCCTGCGGGTCATCAGCCCGCTACATGAAGGAGCCACAGAAGCAATGCGCAAAAGCTTCACCTGCCCGTCCTCAAAGCCCCATTCGGGCCCGGTGGCCTTGGTATGAAGCCGTACAGGTGTCTCCCGAGGGAGGCTTTGTTGAGGCTTCTCAGCAGGCCCCCGGTTATGTGGACGGCATTTAACTCCGCTTTTCTTAAAATGCACAGCTGTGTTTGGCTGTAGTGTCGTATAAGTTGATGACATCAACCTGCTCAACCTTTGGGTCCATGCATGACCAAGTGACTCCCATCAGCCCCTGCCTGGCCCATGGAGGGACAGCGACTGAAGGGCCAGAGCCGGCAGTCAAGCAGCTGCACATCTCCCGGGATCAGGTAAGACTTCTGTATATCCAAACAGATCTCGAAATGTGGAAGAGAAAAGAACATCAGAACCGCAGCGGAGCCCAGCTTGTGTGCGGCCCGGTGGAATTCGCTTAAACAGGTTTACTGCTTACATCTTCAATCAGCCTTAATGAATCCGAGAAGAGTTTCAAGGTCCATGTGCTACAGCTCAAGGACGAGTGCGGGGCACTGGTTCCAAGCATGTTGTGATTGGCTGCGTGTTGCTAAACAACAAAAATAGCCCTGCATCTGTTGTCACTGCAGGGCTGGGACATTATTCACAAGTGGGTCACTCAAGTTCCACCAGCAGCCACTAATAAAATACTAATTGCGTAGAGCTGGTGACTTGCGCTCCCAATAAAATAAAAAGAGAACCGAGGCAAAAGGCAGCTTCTGGTAGGCTGGAGACCAGAGGGAAAGGCATTCTTTGAAATATTGTAAATTCTCAGCCAGGAGGTGAAAAGAAGCCCTTGTGAAGGTATTTGCTATTCTGGGAAAAGTTCTCAGCCAACATGAGCCATCGAAGTTATGAGGATCAATTTGTTTTTTTTTGGGTAGTGCTGGGTATCAAACCTGGCACACGCGAGGCAAGTGCTCTGCTACTGAGACCACCCGGCCTCCGAGCGTTTTCTTTGTCGCACCCCCACAATCCAAACAAAATGCAGCTCCTGCCCTCACAGGACAGGGTGCTGGGGGAGCCGGGCTGCTATTTCTCAGGGAAGCCGGTGAGCCAGGCAGCTCAGCTCTGTGGACAGTGAGGCAGAGGCGCAGATACAACGACTCAATGGACGGTAACCCGCAGGCGGGCAGTGATGAGATCCGAGGCACACAGACTTAATTTTGACAGCCATATTAAAGAACCCAGCAAGATGTGAGACCACATTCAGTCAGCACAAGGACAGAAGGGCCCCAGCATAGGAGCCACTTAATAAGTATCTCTCCAGTGAATGAGTGAACCAGTGACTCCCGGACATGACGTCCATCTACTGCTTACCTCGGATTCTTTGTAGTAGCGTTCTGGAATTTCATCACAGGCGATATCAATAAAGCAGACTTCTCTCTCTATGTCTTTGGCTTCACTGTCAAAAATCTGAAAGGGCAGAGCAACATATGAAAGGTTAGAGATGCCAGCTGAAACCTCCAAGGTGCCCGTGGGTGGGTACAACCGTACCGGAGGCACAATCACCCCCCGCGGCGCTGCGTCATATGGCTCGGTGCCGCCGGCTCGAGCCGTTCGCCCGCCGCCGGGTGTGCAAGGATCATGACAGGCTTTTATTCATCGCGTAGGTGTTGTCACATCAGAGGCAGGTGTAGCATCCATCACCGCTTGGTGAGGGTAGAAGAAAAAGGGGCTGTTTTTAGAAGTTCACAAGTGAGGAAATAAATCTCTTCCAAAAACCTCTTCCAAAACTGGAATCTGCTGACTTCTGGCAGCTAATCTAAACAGGGGGCGTGCAGAGGGTGGGAGGGTCTGGTTAGATTTGGGACAAAAAGCGGTGATATAGCTCAAGATGTAGAGAAGAATAACTGTGTTTATTAACATTTATTTATGCACCAAGTTTTACACATATCTTTACAAATACAGTAATAAGCATAGGCTTATTTAAAAAATGCTGAGGAGCACAAAGAAAAAAATAAAATAATTTTATTGCCCAGGAAGAAACGTGTATTTTTCTTGATCATTTAAGACTGTGATTTCCTCGGTACATGTAGAGCTAACAGGTGTAGCGTGATAAAGCACTGAGATGGCTTTATGCTAGTCTACTTTAAGATCCACTGGATGAGAATGTCCATCAACTGTCACCCCCACCAAGGAAAACCCCCCAAAAGATAGTCACAATATACAAATCTAAATTTTGGTGGAAACCTTAATTCCCCGTTGGTTTTGCTATGGCCACGTTTTTGTCTAAAGGGCTGAGCATCCTTCGGAAGCACAGCACACAGATTAAGGGTGGAAGCCCCTGCGTCCGTGTTGGAATCTTAGCTGCACACCCCCCTCGCCGCTGAGTTCGTCCCCGCAGAGACTCTTGAGTTAACACTCATTACACCAGACTCTTCAGAAGAGAATGGAATATTTCAGAAGAACAGGATGGTGGATGCCTGAGAACCTTGTCTTAACTCAAATTTGATGCCTGTTAATAGCGTGATGTTCCACAAGACAGCACCTGAAGGGCTCTTTACCTGCTACACTCCTCTCCGTTTGCTTCTCAGATGGAAAATATTAGTCCTATCCAAATGCTCTCCGAGTGTATCTGTGTGGGTAATTATCCTCCAACGCTGCTGTTTGCTTTACTGCCTATTTCCTTCTAAAATATTTGGAGGCTCCTTGGACAAATCTCTTCAGCTTTCTCCAAAGGCATCAGGCTGACCTGAGGCGGTCAGTCCAATTCCCTTGAAGGCAGAGGAAGACTGGTTCTTAGATCAGCCTCAGTTCCTTCCCCTGCCACCTGAAGTCAAGTGCTGGGACACGCCTACAGGGCTTGGGAGGGACAGGTGGGCTGCGGCAAGAAAGTTCAGGTGTGAGTGCAGAAGTAAGTAGTGAGGTGAAATTCTGGGTCTTTGTGTGAGTCAGAGTCTCTCTCTCTCTGTCTCTGTCTGTCTGTCTGTCTCTCTCTCTCTCTTGTACCCGGAGGGGAATAAGATTCTAGAGAGTAAATTATGAAGACATTAAAGAGATTTGACATTTATTAGTAAAATCTACAGGATTCAAAGAAAGGGAAGTAAGCAGATATTAAGGGAGATATTGACAGGTCATGTGGCTCCATCTAATTTAGCTTGACCCCGCCCCCGCCTCAGTACTGAGGATTAAACTCAGAGCCTCATGCATGCTTAGCAAGCGCTCTGCCACTGAACTCCAAACCCAGACCTTTTTATTACTTTTTATTTTGAGACAAGGTCTCACTCAATTGACTACGCTGGTCTTGAAATCAGTATCTTCCTGCCTCAGCCTCTCAAGTAGCTGGGATTACGAGTGTGCGCCATGAACTGTTTTGATCTTCCACTGCACCAGTTAGCTTATTACTGCCTCTCAGCTCTAAAGCCCGCAGGACTGGACCCTGTAAGCATTTCTCCTGTGGAGCCTGCGTCACAGTAAGCCTGGTCAGTAGAGGGTGCTGGAGGACACTGCGTGACGGAGAGGGCGTCCCTTCCAGGCTTGGATCTTGGAGGCTGGGAGCCTGAGGGTGGGGCTCTTCGGTGGTGCCCGCCTACAGGGCCGCGCTGCTCAGTGACCTTGTAGTCCTGTCCTGGGGCCAGGCGCCCCTTCCCTGGGGCCCTGCTGATGCAGGCTGTTTGCACCTCAGGCCTTGTGTGGCAGGGTGCCCTGCTTCCTCTGCACGCCTGGCCCCCAGCTTCATCTGGCCCGTGCCCCAGAAGTCCTTCTGCTTCCTGGTGACTATGAACCAGCGCTAGCTATGCTCGGCAACCTGGCAACTTCCCTACCCATCCTGTGGGCTGTAAGCATACCTTCTACAGTGATGGGACCCAGCCAAGGAAAGGAACCCCTTCTGTTTGTCTGGCCCTGACTGATACACCCTTTGCATGCAAGTGTTGCTTTGAGGCCTAGGGAAATAGTGACGGCTGAGGTTTAGCCTGCAAAGCTCACCATTTAGTGGGACAGACAGACCAAGAGCTGTTAACAAAACAAGGCAGAATAAAGCATGAGCTACAAAAGAACGCAAAGAAAAGGCCATTTGTCGCGAGAGGAGACAGGAATTTTTACTCAGCAATATTACAAGGATTATATTATTACTTCCAGTTTCCAGATGAGAAAGCCGCTCCTCAAAGCACTGATTATTTACTGCGAATTTAGATTCTTTGGCATCTCATGCCTAAAGAAGACAGTGAGTTCCTCACAGTGATTTCTGAGGCTTTGCTCGGTGGTGGAAATCCTGCCCTGAAATGTTTGCATTGTGGTAATGCAGGCTTGCCCATGCTTGGCATTTCACAGACTTTGCCTCAAGTTAAACTCTGTCCACGAAGGAGACAGAAGCTGTCCACGGCACACCTGGGAGGGGCCCCTGCGGGCTGTGACAAGGAGCGGAAGAACCCCAGCCCCAGGGTCCTTCTCAGGGATGGCTGCCAAAGGTGTACATTTTGTAAGGAGCAGGAGGAGAACCAGATTCTGATGCCATCTTCCTGGAAAGAAGCGGGAGCCACCTTTGGCTGATATTTATCTTCTCGGCTGGAGGCTGAGAGGCAGCCTTTTCTTCCAGGAGGAGCCTGGCTGTGGAGCCTGGAGCTGTGCTCACTGACCCAGCCGCTCTACTGACGGACTCTGTGAGCTCTCAAGGCTACTGCTCCTTCTAAAATAAAAAAAAGCTTAGTCTAGAAGGATGGGGTTCAGGGAACCTGGAATGCACACATTTGGGCAGGTGCATTTTTCTGGAGAGTGAGTTCAGCCACTGTTGTCTGATTACCAGAGATCTCTGGGCCTGAAGCTATGCAGCTTCACTGCCTTGTTTTCTTGTGGAGAAAATCTGTTTCCTTCTGAGATGGGACTTGGGTCTGGGAGGTCACTGGGGAGCTTTTCCTATATCACCTGTAGTAATGTTCTAGTCTCTGTATGTTTGTCATAGGTATTGTCTTAGTCTGTCTTCGTTACTATAACAAAATACCCAAGGCAGGTTTAGAGGACAGGAGAACATTTGAAAGGGTCATGTCACCCACAGCACCAAACAGGAAGGCAAAGGGAGAGAGACAGAAAGACAGACAGACAGACAGACAGACTTGGGTCCTATACTCCCTTTGGGGACATGATTCCCTTTGAATCCCTCTCTCAACATTGTTAGGCTAGGGACAAAACTTCCAAACATATGAACTCTTGAGGGACACGCTGAATCCATAACTAACCCATGGTGGACACTCAGGGGAGAATGCATTCCTCCCCTTCTGCATCTATGCACTGATTATCTACCGGGAATTTTGGTGCCAGTCTGACTGACTCCCCTGACCTCTGCCTCACACTGGGAAATAAACAAGAAGACAAACTCTTTTTAATATGAACTGAGCAATACTAACATGAGAAGGCAAATCTTTGGAAGAAATATTATCTCACAGATTGCAAAATAAAAATGGAGCAATTTCCCCTTTTTTGGTAAAGTATTACGAACAATAAATATCAAGTGTCTTAAAAATCTTCATATATTTCAACCTAGTAAGTTTGTGCTTTGAGAATCTATCTTAAGGAAAGAAGTTTAAATAAAGGAAAAGGTTTATGCACAAAGATTTTTATCGCAACTTTATTGTAATGATAAGGAAAAATATGCAGAAGAAAATACAGATTACATATCCCACAATGGGAGGCGAGCCAAGGAAATTAGTCTATCTGATGAACTATTACATGACATGTGATCATAACTAAGCAGGGAGAGGTATATTGATAAACAAAGAATGTAGATTCTAGATTTCTTCTGGAAGAGGGGCATCTTCCTAGATATTGTGATCTTTCTTGTTTTATTTCTAGATTTATTTCCAGATTCTGTGGCTTTTCTTTTTTATAGTCCATCTATTTGGGGTGATTCTTATAAATCACAACTGACAATCCTGGTAATTTTTCTCCAAAATAGTAATTTTTATGGTCTAAGATCTAGGCTTACATGAGAACTCTCTGTACTTTCACACCATTTCCCTGCACACATAAAAGTGTTCCATAAAATAAAATCTATTATTTTTTAATGGGGGGGATTGATCCAATCTCCTAGTTGTGTAGACTTTTATCTTTCCGCCAGATGCCAGAGTTACTTGAGGATGAAATGTAGAAGTGGTTGATTAGTATGGATTCTGAGGGGAAAAAAATCTCCCAGTCATTTTGTTTTATGCTTCAGATATGATTCACAGGACAAAGAGGCTTAACTAAGCTGCTATTTTTCCTACTGCAAGTTTTTTCCCCCAGCCTTTGGGAAGCAATCATCTAAGACATACCAAGAAAGTACAAGGTCGGCAAGAAGGGACTCTGGAAGCAGAGAATCGCTTCAAAAATGCTTTCATCCAATGGCTGCTGTCCCGACAAAGGCTGGTAAGGTTATGGGGGAAAAGGAACTCTTCTACATTGTGGGTGAGAATGTAAACGAATACAACCACTGTGAAAAT